GAGTGGCAAAATATGCACGAAAAATCCCAAAATATGCGCATATATATGTACCGAAAAAGCCCCAAATATGCACTAAAATATGGCAAATTTGCCGAAATATGTACTAAATATGCAGCAAAAATAATGAAAATGTGCCTTAAAATTCAATATTTCAAGTAAATTAATACTAATTTAGCATTTAAATTGCAGTTTAAGGGCACTTCTAAACTATTTTATTAATTTAAAACTCAAGTAAAAAAATTTTTTTTGAAAGAAATTATTCCTAAAAAATTTTTCGAAAAAATTTTTTCGACAAATTTTTATCAAAAAATTTTTTGCACAAAAAATTCCAAAATTTTGAAAATTTTGACCGATTTTTACTAAAATTTCTCAAAAAATGCCAAAATATGCACAAATTTAGGTAAAAATATGCAAAATTTCCCAAAATATGCCTCGATATGCAAATATGACCGAAAGTACTGGAATATGCAAAAATATGCTATAGGAACTCGGTCCCTAATGTTCGTACCGACCTAAAAACACCATTTTTGAGCGTTTCAGCTCATGGCATATCCGCATGCAAAATATGCATTTGCATGTTTTGCCACTCCCTACTCATAACTCGTTATCTATTTTAGTTTTAATTTGCAAACGATATTTTGATACTTTTCCGTTATTCTATTACAAACTGAGTGCCAGTCGAATTTGTTCGGCTATAACGGTTTGATACTTGATCCAATACAAATTAATTTTAAATCATTCGAAAGCCCTTGATAAGTAATGTATTTTTTCTAATAGGATAGATCAGGTCTGATCAATGATTAAAGTTATAACCCAACAAATGTGGAAAGCATCAAATAGACCTGATCTGTTCTATTAGAAAAAATATACAGGGTGTTTCAACTAAGAAATACTATTTGAAAAATCCATAACTTTTTTCTGCGTTGACAGATTTTAATGAAATTTGGTATTTTATATCTATATTTTCTAGCATTTTTTTTGACATAAAAATTTTTTCGAAATTCAAACCCTAACCCTGTATTTCAATTTCGTACTCTACCGTTCTCTTTTTTTTCTCTTCGCATTGCATGCTATCTTACTTCATTTATTTTCCTGCGTATGGCGAAGAGTGGATACTGTATTGAAAATGTAGTGGCTATCGCCTAGTGTTTACTCTAGTGTCTGTCTCCCCTTACAACAAATAAAGGGAAGTAAGAATGCATGTGCGGAAAAAGGGAAAAACAGAACGGTAGAGTACGAAATTATCTCGGGGTAGGGTTCGAATTTAGACATAATTTTTATGTCAGAAAAAATGCTATAAGATATAGATATAAAATACAAAATATCTATAAAATCTGTCAACTTAGTAAAAAGTTATAGATTTTTCAAATAGTATTTCTTAGTTGAAACACCCTGTACAGCTTGCCGTGGGCTTTCTAAAGACATAAAATTCATTTATATTGGATCAAGCAACAAAATGTTATAGGCGATCAAATTCGGCTGGAACTCAGTTTAATTTTTTTAATTTTTTAATCCATTATGTACAACAACATATACAAAAACACAAATTATTTTGAATTCTAAAAGAAGTTTTTGTGTTTAGACACAATTTCTAATTGTTTTATAAAAAGAGAAAGAAAATAGATAAAAAACAGAAATCGACAAATTTTTGATCGGACTTTTTCTTTTTTTTAATTTTGGAAAATTTCATTTTAAATTCGAAAATTTTTTAAAATTTACATTGTTAACACAAGTTTTTGGCATAAATGGATTGGCATAAAAACTGTTTGAAATTATTATTAAATCTATGATATTTTACAAAAACTAAATAGTATTGTTAGCTTTTAATTTTTAAATTCGACAGTCGGTCAGCTGAATGATAAAATACAATCCTAGTATTTTCCTAAAAATTAGCTTAATAGATTTTTCAGGGTATCTTTAGACTTTTAAACTTATATTACTACATAGTTGTCTCTATACTACAATCAAAACCCATGAGCAGTTAGTCTTGGCTATCGCGTTACAATTTAAAATTTGTCAATGATTCTTGATAGTACGGCACCAAATATTAAAAATCCTAATAAAAATGCGGGATACTGACTTTGAAATAAAAGTTACATACCGTATTTACTCGATTAATTCCCCCGAGGAATTATTTTTTCAAACCATCCGTGGCATGGGGAATTAATAGAGGGTGGGAAATTAATCGAGCTTTGAAATTTGAACGTGTAGTAGAGTATTCAAGGGTGTGGAATTATTTTTTCAACTCATCCCTGGCATGGGGAATTATTTGAGGATGGGGAATTGATCGAGTAAATACGGTATGTAGGAGAGGGGTTACTTTTTAATAAGTTTTCTTATATTGCGTTTTACATAAATATACATTTTGATAAATACCTTTATTTATTAAATAAACTTAATTTTTAAATATTTTAATAATTTAAATTTATTTAAAAAATTATTTCATAATATTTTAATTACATAATAAAAATATATTTATTTATTTACTTGCACTTTTAAAAATTGGTGTCGGTTTTTTACTTTGATAATTTATTTTTAGACTGTCTTTAAATTTGTTTACACTTTTCTTTTTTGTATTTTGATTTATTAAATATTTTAAAAGTGCTTAATTAAAAAATAATTTAAATAAATTATTTATTTACTGGCTTACATATATTGGCTTATATATTTTAATTAAGAATTATTTTCTTTAATCTTAATTTAATTAAAACTTTAAAAAATTTTTTTTATTTATTAAATCTTCTTATGATTAAATTAAATAAATAATTAAATAAAATTAATATAAAATGTTTTAATTCAATAGTTCATGAATGTTGTCGAAATAATATTTTTATTTTAGGTAAATCAGTAGACAATTTCTATGAAAATTAAATTAATTAAAGTCTGTTGAAGCATTAAATTAAATCAAAGTCTGCCAACTTTAAATTATTATTCTTTGATTTTAACTCCTTTCCCTTGTTAACTTGAAAATTTTTGAAAGTTTTAATATTTTTTCCAAAAAAAAAGTTTTTTTTGGTATTAAACCATGGTGAAAAAATATGAATAAAACACAAGATTATTACTAACAAATTATGCTTGAATTTAAATTTTTAATTAATTTTCAATATTTAGCTGAAAATGTTTTCCATTTTTTGGCTTAATTATTTTTTAATTCTTTTTTATTTTCTGCTACCTTCAAATGTTGATTGTATGTGGAACTTTTCTAAAGGAGAAGATAGTAAAACCCCTTTACTTTCTCAACAAAATTATGATGAAGCTTCATCATCTTCAAGTAGTATTCAATCCAATCAACAAATCCCAACCAAAGCAAATAATGGAAAGAAAATATTGCTGGTAACTGATGCATTTTACATCCATTATAATTTCTTTGTAAGTTAAAAGTCAATAGAATATTTATCTCAACCAAATTTTTTAGTTAAATCTGGCTAATGTCCTATGTTACAACGGCAAATATGATGTGGTAAATTAGAAATATGTTTATAATAAAAGTATTTTCTGACATTTAGCCAAATCTTGTATTATATTAATCATTTATCTGTTGAAAAATCGAGTAGTTACATTTTCAGAAAATAAAGGAAAATTTTTTAAAATTATTCTTTTATCTGGTGTTAATTTAAAAATTAAATATCTGTGCATAATTCGGGGAAGATTACTCTTAGAAACATCCCTATCACCTCTCAATTTCAGACATTAGATGGCCTTTTTAGAGCAGTTGATTTCCTTTATTTCAGAAAATTAAAGAAATTTTTTTAATTATTCGCCAAAGGCGCATAACTAACATCGCGATAGATTGCTGAATTTTACTTTCCTCTATTCTTCTATCCGGAGAGAAATTAGGTGAAGATTAAATGTTTGAGATAATTCAAGCAAGATTACTCTAAAAAACATCCCCCTATCACCTCACTCTATTTCAGACATTTTAATTTTTAAAATTTTAGTATTTGATTGTTGTTAACTTCAAAGGAAAGGACATTTTAAATAAACCTTTAGAAGGTGTTCGATTTATAGAAGTACCTTATACAGGAGATGGAGAGTATTCACAAGGGTTTACAGCCAAAAAATTAGAAACTAATTGGACAGTTGAAGATAAAAAAGACGACCATCACGCTTTAAAGTTGCTAGGATTTTATATGTATGGCATATATAAAGGTTAGCTAAAAAGTTGATTTAGAGAGGATTTATTACTTGAGGGTGTCATTTTAGTTTCATCATTTTATGGCCAAAAACCATTTGGTATTAGGGGTATTATATACCTATATGGAATTGAAACCTCAATAAACGTAACTGTAATCGGAACAGTCTGAATTTACCAATATTTGGAATCGGAAGACCAAAAATTTCTAACCTAGAGATTGAAAAGTCTTTAAAATTCCTCTCTTTTAAGCAATAATAGAAAATCCTAAAGTCGAAATCTATGGAATACAACAAAGAATTTTTGATTGGCTTAAACTTATGGGGCAACAATTTGCACTGGGAATTGCTGAGTTTTCTATTACTGCAGGAGCATTTCCTCTCTTTGCAGAGATTGGATTAAATAAATATATAGCTGCAACTCCAAAAATTGCTCTTCTCATCCATTTGCATTTTCTTGGACAGGAACGCTATTATTTAATGCCTGGTATGCATTTTTGTGATTTGTACATAATTGAGATATAGAAAACAGTATAACGACAACAGTGGTTTATCGGATTCCAAAAACCTTTCTTTAGCTGTTCCAACTTTTGCGGTTACTGGAGCTGAACCGCTGAGTTTTGAATTTTTTAAATAAAATATGATTTCGAATTTAATTTAAGTGCCGACAAATTTAAAGCTTATTAAGCATTTGTGTACGAAAATTTTCTATTTTCTTTAAAATAATTTACTCACATTTAGAGTTAATGAATCCACAAGTTTATTATACATTTTATAAACAAAATCAAGAAAAATATTTAATGTTGGCAAGGAAAAGGGCTTTAGAAAAGAATTTATTGGGGAACCATAAATTAATTAAAGTTGAAGAAATGCCAAAAATGTGGGATTTATTAAGAAAATCAAAATATTATTTAATAAATGTCCATCCACTTGGACAATTTCCCTTTCCAAATATTCCAAAAAGAATTGTTAATATTGGAGGGATTGAAGTAGAAATTGAAGGAATTTTGAATGAAATTGAGGAAGAAAAGAGATTGAAAGAAAAAGAGAAAAATAAGTGGTTAACCGGCTTTTTAAAAAATAAAGTAAAGGAACATTTCTTTGAAGACCCTGTATTTGAGTGGATTAAAAAGGTATTTAATAATTTTGTTATGTCCAGGGTTTTCCCAAGATTTTCTAATTTCAACGAACTCAAGAATAATACTTTATCAAAATTAGAAAATACAATATAGGCGAGCCGGAACAGATGAAGGAAATAGAGGACTAGCCGGGCTATTTTCGGAACTTCGTTTCTTTTGTATTTTTTATAGATGTCCATAGATATGTTTACAGGGATTTTTGTAGATTTTTGCGAACATCCCTAAGGTCGAAAATACAAGTGATTGTATAGTTATGTCGAGATAATTTTGTCAGGTAAAGCGGATAATAACTGATATTTGCAGCATGTTTATTATATTTAAATGCATTAATTTCCAAATTCATATTTAACCTGGAAAAATCTAGAAAAATAGTGTAGCTGTATAGCTATGCGGAGGGGTGTATAGCAACTCCATTACACTCCAAATTTAATATTGAATTCGTAAAATTAATTCAATAGCTTAGCTTATGAATGAAGTTCATTTTAACTACATAATTTCAGTCTATTAAATAAAAATTCTCTGTTTAATTAAATTATTTTTAATTTAATTTTTATCTTTAAATTTAAATTTCCAATTTTATTTTACAGACTGATTGCTTTGTTTTATTTTATATGGGTGAACTCGTTACCTTTAAAGGATTTTCAAAGGAATATTTTATTAGATTAATAGAAACATTTGTAAAATATGATAAATGTAAATTTGTTGTTCAACTTAGGGAAGGAATTCATGTATTAGAAATTCTACAAAAGGATCCTTTAATAGCATTGCGATTAGATTCAAATGTTCATAAAAATATATATTTTTACATAAAGGGGATAAATCTACAAAAATTCTTAGGTAAATTTTCGGTAAAGAATATTTTCTTTCTAAAAGAAAAAACGATAGGAAAAACGAGACTTTAGCGTCTCGTTTCAATCTTACAATATTCTAGAGATCGGACCGTACCGTACTACGGCCGTATTTTTCGGTATTTATCGGTATTCCGTATTGGTTTGGGTGCCTACTTAACTTTACCTAGATATATTAACTCTTTCTTCTAAGTTCATAATCATACTTTTCAATATTTAAATTTCCAATTTTTAATCTTTATGATCGGGGAAATATAGAATTTTCCAATTTTATCAAAAATTTCAGCACAGAAAAATCTTCGTGGGTTTATCACTGCTGGTGATCAGAAATGCTTTAATCAGGTATATAATTACACCCTAATATGGGCATGGCCAGATAACTCGCAGAAAGACATTTTGTTCTGCAAATGTGTTTAAATACTTAAGTATCTTTAATTTGTTTTATATCCGATACATTTATTTGATAATCTGACAATTTTGTGGAGCTGCTGATCTGTTTAAGAATTGGCCACCCTGATGTAACATTCAGAATTTATTAATTATAGTGGCAAATATCCGGTTGGCACCCTACATTTCCGCAAAGAAATATTTAGATTTTAACTTATAAATAATTTTAAATAAAATTTAATTAATTAATTTTACAGGCTCTTTATGTTGGAGTTCCATTAATTTTAATTCCCTTCACTTTTGAACAAAAGTTTAATGCAGGAATTGTTAAATATATGAGATTGGGAATTACTGTTAATCATACAAAATTTGTTCAAGAATTTCCTCTTGCTGTTAAAAAATTAATAGGGTTAGTAGTTATGTACATATTATGTCTTTAACGTTAAAAACTTTCTTGATGAAGGATGCAGAAGAACAAGGTTTCAATGTTTCGACTTCTGAAAATTGTAAATTTGGTTCAGCCTGCTAATACGTTTTAGTATTTTAATTCAATATTGATAATATTTGGATAACTAAGTCCCGAGTTATACAATTTTTTCAAGCGCGCTTATAATTTTGAACAGCACTTTATATCAAAATATTTTTTAAATAAATAATAGAAATTATTTTCAGTGAAAATCAAGTGTCTTCTAATCCAAACACTTTTACTGAAAATGCCAACAAAATTAAAGGGGCAATCGACCAATTTCCTAATGGACAAATTAAAACGTTTCTTGAAACTGTTGAGAAAGCTATAGAAGATAAAGATGAAGAAGCGCAATTTCCTGAAATGCCTACTAAATTTGAAGAAATTGGGCATGTCGGAAGAATTAAACCGTTTTCGGTTGTTTTAAATGAGTTTATTAATTCGAAACAAAAATGAGAGAAAGAGAGAGATTTTCGTTGAAAAGAATTTAAAAAACTTGAGAGATTTTTTATAATTGTGACTCAATTTTACATACACCCATAGGGTTGAAAAATTTATTTAAATTTGATGTGTTTAGATATTTAAAAAAATTAGAAATTATTCATATTTTTTAATAATATTCATTTATGGTGTGTAACAAAATTATAAAACACCTTAACATTTTTCGATTTACAATGTTCCAAAAATTCTACAAAAATTCCTGTGGACATTTCCATCGATATAGTGTAGAAAAGTAAAAAGAACAAAGTCTGTAACTCCTTTCTTCATTGAGATCTCAAATCCCAGAAATCAACGGGAAATCGGGGGTACAGTACTTCAAAAAATATTTAAACCACCTAGAGCTAAATTAAATTGAACTTTATTATTTTTAAATATTAGACAGTTAGTCAGCATTTTTATTTTTTTTAATTTTTAGACTTTTTTAATTTTTTTTTCTTTGTATTTTTATTTATTGACGAAAGTATTTGTGTAAAAAGTAAATAAATAAATAGGTAAATGATTCATTTTTAATAGTATTGGCTCTAGTATATGCGTCCCATGAAAGTATATATGCGTCCCAAAATTTTGTAAACATTTTTTAATTGTATTAATGGAAATTAAATATTTTATTATGTTTCTTTCTCGTGGGACAACGAGCAAATTAAAAAAAAAATAATAAAATTTTTAGTTTAATATGATATGTAGAAAGTAATTTTTCATAGTTGATATTGCGTTCTAATTTCTTCCATCAAATGTTGAATGATTTTGCTGTTTGCATGGTATCTTCTAAACATATACTGAAATAGATACGAAGGTAGCATATACTTATTTTAGGTTTTGAGAGTCAAAGGAATTTGTTAGTCCCTAGTTATGAGTTATAATAAATGCGATAAATATCGTAAATTTTTTTTGAATTTTATGATGACTTAAATGTTAGAAAACTAATCACTTAATTTATAACTTTGACTTTTATTAATAATTTTTTTCTTTCCGATATTTTAATTTTAAAAAGAATTTTCAACATTTTAGCCAAAAACGTTTTGTGTACATAATTTGTATTCTTTTTATGTTTTTCTAAATGTTTCTTGTTAATTAATACAATCAGTGCTGGGTATGGCTCCGGGAGCAAGCTTCGGAGCCAGGAGCCAAGATTTTGGAGCCGGAGCCAAGATGTTAAAAGCCCGGAGCCCGAAGCCGGAGCCAACAAATGGCAAATACCCAGCACCGATTGCAATTGTTTGTTTGAGTGTTGATTTAGTAAATGTTGCTCTTTAGACTTATCAATTCTATATTAGCTATTCTCTCTATCTCGCCTATATTTAATTTAGATTTATTAAATTCCACGTTTTATCGATAATTAGTTAAAGGGCATTTTAAATAATTATGAGTGAGTGAAGGATGGAGGGGAGAGAAGGAAAGGAGGGAGTGGAGGATTTTTAATAAAATTATATTTCAAAATATACATTCATTTAATTGCACTTTATTATTTTTATCACTTTATTATTTTTTTAATTTTAGACATTTTGTCGGCATTTATATTTTTTCTTTTATTTTTAGACTTTTTTTAATTATTTTTTTTCCTTTTTTTGTATTTTTATTTATTGTAAAAAGTGTTTATGTAAAAAATAAATAAATAAATAAAGTTATTCCAATTCTCTAAGTTATTCCAATTTCTCCACTGAAAAATATTAATTAAGAAAAATTTTTAATTTTTGAAAGAAATATTTTTCCTAAAATTGAAAGAAATTTTTGAGTGACCGCAAATCCACATTTTTAAGAATAATCCTCATCGACCTATCAAAATACCACAAAATAAGGAAAAATCCTCACAATTCCGAACCCTGCCCATAACAAGGTCGGTCGGAAATTTAATTTCCGACGATTTCTATTTCGATTTCCGAAATTGTTTTCATTAAAGAACATTAAATTTTCACATCATTATGTAGTATATTAAACGAAAGGAAAAATGAGAACAAGCTAGACAAATTATGTTTGGATTTTAATATTTAATTAATTCTTAATTTTTTAGCTGAAAATGTTTTCCATTTTCTGGCTTAATTTTCTTTTAATTATTTTTTATTTTCTGTCAAATTCCAATGTTGATTGCATGAAAAAATTCTTTAAAGGGGAAAGTAGTAAGCCCTCTTTACCTTCTCAACAAAATTATGATGAAGGTTCATCATCATCCTCAAGTAGTATTCAATCCAATCAACAAATTCCAACCAAAACAAATAATGGGAAAAAAATTTTGCTTATAGCTGACTCATTTTACCCGCATTACAATTTTTTTGTAAGCTAAAAGTTAAAAGAATACTTATTTCAACAATTAATTTTTAGTTAAATCTGGCTAATGTTCTATGTTACAAAGGCCATTATGACGTGGTAACATAAAATACTGATAATAATATAAAACTGAATACCATATTTCCTAAAAGTCGACTCGATCGGATTGACTTGCATTAAAGCTTTTGGACTCTGAAGCCACTCTCGAGTCTTAATTTCAACAAAATCTTATAATACAAATTTTAAGGATTTATACAGATTCAAGATAGACCTCTCTCCCTATTCTCCACACATTTTCCAGCAAAATATTGCGCACTAACATTGTTAATAAATCTTGTAAAAACTGTTAAATTCGAATTTCTTTCGAAAATTTAAGTTATGAATTTTTTTATTTTTGACCTAATTTTACTAGTTTTTATATGTACAAAATTTTAACGTTGATTACCGAAATTATTAACGAGGGGATAAGTTATGCGCTGCCCTTATATCAGAGGATGTCATTGAATTTTGTAAAAGATTACTGTCACAAAACTACCCTCACAACTCCCAATTTCAAATATTTAAATTTGTGAATCTTAAGTATTTGCTTGTGGTTAATTTTCAAAAAAATGGCATTTCGAGTGAACCTT